GAATTATTTCAGATGTGCAGATTAAGCCAACTAATACAATTTAACAAGGAAGATTCAGAGCATATTTTTTAGTTTTCAACATTGTTTGCTATGTTTGCTATTGTTTGCATCTTGAATGCTATTGAAAATGGTTATGACTGTCATAATTACCATCTCATTATTTCCAAATCATCATTATAGCAGTGGAGAAGTTTGTCTCTTTGTTGATTTTATCTAATAGCTTTTTGTAGCAGAAGGCAGATCTCATGCTGGAAAAGTGGGAAACCTCCCAAGACTTAAAAAAAATGTATTTATTGCATCAACTCTTACATATTCACAAGTCATTTTAGTATGGATTGGTTCTGGTCCCATATCTAGATATTTCTGTGTAAGAGTATGAACCCAGTTGTGGACAACAGATGGTTTCTTTATTGTTTGAACACGTTCTCCTGTTGTTTTTATTCAACAGATAGATTTTGACAAGGATCAGTCAAGTGCCATCGCCTCAGTTGTTCTGCCACCAAGTTTACTGAAGAATTTAAGTCAAGACGAGTTTGAAGTTATATCCAGGGCTCAGTTTACTTTCTTCAACAAAAATGGTCTTTTTCAGGTAAGCATTAATGTGCTTGAAGTCATTTCAGATAGGGTAAATCAAAGCCAGCTGCTAAAAGTTTCCTGTAGTGGAATCGTTTCACGGTATTTCATGAGTTACAGGAGTTAAAAGATGACAGCAGATGAAGGCAGTCTTACATTCAGAGCAGCAAATCAGTTGAAGTGCCCAAGCTGAGTTGAAGTCAATGGTTTTAATTGAAAATTCCTCTCACTTGTGAAATAAATCTTTTCTCAGGGTAATCTATGGAAAATTGTACCCCAACTGCTTAAAATCAGAGGAAAGCAGCAAAGGCCTTTAAAAAACTTTTAACTTCTGTTAAAATGCATTAATATAAGTCCTTGGTGTTCAGTGGAGCCAGGTTATTTTCTATCAGGAAGGATAGAAGGAAGGAGTTACACAATTCTTTCCACACCTGTGTTCTCATCAGTATACCATATTTTAATAGGAATAAGGATAACAATAGTTCTACCTGAAATCCAAACATGCACAGGTAGATTTGATGTTTTATTTTTTGAGTCTTGTCAAATAGTTATTGTAAATAGTGCCTGTATGGTAGGTGCCAAAATATTAGGAAGAGTTTGCAGCTTGGAAAAATAAAACCAAAACCACACATACTAGGGAAAAAAAGAAAAGAAAAAAAAAGTTAATTAAGAAGGAAACATTGTTTCATGTTGAACTGCAGAATGTGTCTCAGAAGACTTGAGTTTGTTTTCCCATCAGTATTTCAAGTGACCTTTGGCTCCTGTGCATCCGCAGAACTCCGTAGTATTGTATTGTCTCTATATTATCGTTTTTATTGGCAGTGTATCCAGATTCTTCAGATAATCTAGGCAAGAAAATACCCATGACCCACAGTTGCCTTCTGAAATACACCCCAAAGTACTTTTATTTTAAATTGTGCTCATTTTAAGCCTGCTTTTGAGAAAAACAGGATGGATGTCTTGAATAAAAAAAAAACCCAGAAGAATACAGATGGAGGCCAGTCATAATGGCAGAAAATCATATGAAGTCAGAATGTGTCCCTTAATGGTGCTAGAATGCGTTTCTAAGTGGCACTTAATAAGCCACTGAAAAACAAAGACCATAAAAATTGCACCTTAATTTGCAACTAAAATGCCTTTCATTTTTTGTGTGCTTTTCAAACTCTTCATGGGTGATGTGTTTAACACAATGAATTAAAAATGTGCGATCCTCACATTTTTAGGAAGTCTAAAAATAAAGGAAGAAAAACAGGATTAAAGTAAGGCCTAAAAATAAACTGATGCACATGCCATTACAAACAAAATAACATTATCCATCAATATGAGTATTTAATTTTTATTGCATTTCAGATTTCTTCCACATGAAATTACAAATATCTGAATGCTATTCACTGTATTCCTTAAAAGTATTCAACATAACAGAGAAACACGCTTTGCAGCATTGGAGGTAGTGGGTTATTTGATTGCAACTGAGAGAATTCCAATAAGTTTTGTCTTGCAATTCATTAAAGATGGTTCCATTACTTAGAGAACTTTATAAAAGCTGTTCAGGGTGGGATTCACCTCACCAGAGGCAGCTGTGTTCAGTGTAAACATCTATGTCTGAACCGTTGAACTTCAGCTGAACGCAGCCTCATGGCTAAACAAGTAGTAATCTGTATTTTACTTTAATGCACACATAAGAATATATTAAATTGCCTTCCTTAAGGAGACCAGCTCTGTCTCGTTTTTCCTATCTGCTACAGATAGAATCCACTGAAACCTGTGGAAATATGCCCAAGAACTTCCATAAACTTTGTCAGATGTTCAAATTTAGGTGTTAGCCAAGAAATCTTTCTTGTCTGAATACTCAAGAGCTGCCTAGAAATTTGCATTTTCTTTCCACTTCAGTTTTTAAGGTTTTAGGAAATTTTGCCACAAAGCTCCAGTATAGTCTGAAATACTATGTCTGAAAATTCTTGGATATGGTTCTTAAGAAATAAAATACTCTTCTCAGGATAATGTGCACTTAATAACTGAAGCTATTGTGTCTCTCATGAGTGGTGGGATCTCACAAGCCCGGTGCTGAGCTGAAACCTGATGTCTTGTTATGCTAATAAAACTCCTAACCAGAAGGAATCAAGGATTCAGGAGTCTGGGAGACCAGATTTTGGGAGAGAGAGTGAGTGGCAATAGAAGACCTCATTTGACCTGAGATCTGCCACAGTCAATGACCAAGCTTCCCAACCAGGCATCGAAATATGCAGGTTCCAATAGAAGCCTATCAAAAGAAAATAGCATTGCCAATGAAATTCCATTTCAATAAATAATTGGTTTCCAAGGAAACCTCTTCTGGAAAATTGCCAGCTGCAGGTTAAAAATCCTACTGGCCAGTGACAATGTCAGTATTCTATTTAAATTCCTATCAAATAACACCTTACAGAAAATGCTATCTCCTTCAATATGTAACATTGCTTTGTGGTTTTTTAATACTTCATAGTCATTCATTTTAAGATGGAGGTTGATTTAACAACTATATGCAGAAAACAGTTTATTCTCTAAAAACTTTGCATTTACTAAAGGACAGTGTCAACAATAAGGTAAGTGAGCTCATTCATGCTTGTTTAGGGAAATGAGCTAATCATATCATGGGTTGTTATCTGCCACACTGTTTGAGTTATAATTTTGTTTGCCTTCTAACCTCTCTCTATAATTGTGCCTATGCATGTTTATGGCTACAAGGAAAATAGGGAAGCTTCCATAAGGCTAACCCATAATTTGATTTTATAAACATAATGTTCTTACATTGTGTGATCAGAAGTACAGAAATGCTGACAATTTACTTATTCTGGCACGCTGCAAAAATGAAACTGTGTACTCTGGCTTTTATGTCATGTGCCATGTAAGCACTTATTATATTTTTCTTAATCTTTTGAAGGATGCAGAAAATCCTGCCAATTTGACCAGTTTTGTGGTGGCATGCAGTATTGGAAACTTAACCATTCAGGATCTTCAGGATTACGTGAAGGTTACAATCAAGCATACCAAAATTCAGGTAAAACAAGACGGATTATTCAGAAGAACGGGAATGCAGATTATAAAGGCTAAGATTATAGCCCGATTTATATGGATGAATTTTGAGTTAGATCAAACTCAAATTGAAATGAAAAAGTCTAGAACAAAAGCAATTAAGCAAAAAGTAGAAACAATCTCTCCTATCCCCATGCATTTGTACTCTGTTCATGACCCAACACTTATCTGCAAGATCATTGATTCTGCCCCTCAGAAATAATTTCTGTGCCAATAACTGTAGGTGAAACCTTTTTTAATGACCATATTCATGACCAGAGACCAGGGACATGATTTATTACACTGGAACTTCATAATTACTTAAATTCTTTGACCAAACATTATTCACTTTGTTAATAGTTCCCAGAATTATTTTGTTGTTGTGTGGTTTTCACCAGAGGAATGGACAGAAACTCATTAATAAAAGATGACTACAGTAAATTTAGGGGAAATACAGACCAAATGCAACCTTTTGTCACATACTGTTCCAGTTAGAAAATGTGTGAGTTTGACTCCGATCTCTGTATCTAATCCAAAAGAGGCAATAGCACAAGAAATGTTAAAGACAATTGTTAAAGTGATTTTAAATTTACCTAAGTTGTTTACATAATGAGAACCTGGTTGGTAATTTTCACAGCTCCATTATTTTGCAGTGCATTACAATTACTATTTTAATGTGAGGCAAAACAACCTACACCTGGGTTCAGCAGGCATTTGCACATTTTCAAGCTTTACGTAGAGGATTCATGGAGAAGCCCTAAGGAAGTAAACAGTACAAACTATTTAAATTCTATAAAGACATCATATTCATGGATAACTTCAGTTAACACAAGAAAACTTCATTACTCTGAGGACATGCAAAAGGAGCCATTGCATTGTACAAAGTAGTGCTCTAGATTTTTCAGTTTGGACAAATCCATCTCTCTGGCAGAAAAAAACCTCTAATTTGACACCAGGCAAGTAAGTTTCCAACAATCTGATGATATGGATTCTTCTGCTTATTAAATAAAAATATATGCATTGCAACATCTGTTGTAAATGCTGATGAGATTTATGTCTGAAGAGATACACAAAGTATACTTTTACATCTGTTCTTAGGAAGATCCTAAACCCACCTGTGTCTTCTGGGACATGAACAAAAATGGTAAGTTTAAAAATACTTTCATTTCTTTCATGAGGGGAATAAATGTGTCTGAGTCTTAAAATTGGTCACAGTATTGCAATTTTGCTTCCAAATCAATCCTTACAGGATTCAATAAAGTCTACTCAGTAAAGTGTATAATTTCTTCTGGTTAGTATAGTTACATGTAACAGCAAATGTTAAATTTCTTTTTAAAAGTCTATTTTTAGTGTAAATGTTTTTAACATTTTAGATTTTTCAATTGGGTTTTCCCACTTTTTCCCTATATCTGCAGTTTTTCACTGATCTGTCCATATGAGCAAATTCAATTATAATGCTACTCAGACACATGAGTGGTTCTTAACCATACTTTTAACTGTTAATTTTTTTAAAAACTGGGTTATATAGGTGTAAGTTTGTGACTGATCTTAAGCTTTTCTTCATCAAAGAATGGTCATTACTGCCAAACCTGTGTGTGATGTTTTACTCAGGCTGTTAATCCTTTGCACCAAGTTGTTCTCTGGGATGACTTTCCAGATCTCTCTGTTTTAGAAATCACTGCTGAGCTGTTTCTTTTCTTTACAATGAAACAGATAGAGCTTTAGGATTTTGGATGGAGAGGTTCCCTACACAGTCCTGCAAGAAATAAAATTTACCATCCGAATTTGTATTTAAAATCCAGAAATACAGACAGAGCAACTGAGGAGAATGTGGGAGGATAAAAATGAGAAAAAAATCATAGAAACTAGTTAGGAAGCTGAACTTAAGAATCACATTAAAGGAGAAACACACAGGAGGAAACTATTCCTGGTGGCTGCTTGAGCAACGAACAGTTTTAAGTGGTTTTGGAACATCTTCACAGATGAGACATTCACACATTTTTGAGAGAATGTCTTGAATTTGAGTGTTTGATTGTCCTGAAGTTACAGAGCAAATTATGCTGGGTTTTGTCAAGAGCTGTGAATAAAATGTCTTTAAGAGTCAGAAAATATGAATGACTTCACAAAACCAGCTCATATTTTGGCAGGGGGGAAAAAAAATGAAAAAAGAAACAATTTTACTTTTTATGATTTAATTTTTAAAACTAAAATTTTTCTACTTGTATTTCAGAATGGCCTTTTCAAGTGGGGCAGGTTGGGAACAGTTCACTTCATGTTTTTTTGTAAGGTCACTGGAGATCATTGGGATTACCCACTCTGACCTGCATTACATGCTGCAGAGAGGAAGGGTGGCACTCTCTGCTCTTGGGCTATAAAAGCTTTCATCTGCCTGAGGATATATGAGTGGGAGGCAGGCAGGTGTAGACATCATTTATCAGTGGGGTAAAAGGAGTTCTATAATCATCTTGTTATTGGAGTAAACTAAGGCATGTCTTAATGCATGATCCATGTAGTTGGTTTTACTCAACAACCAAAAAGCTCCCTACCTTTATTCTACATCTCCATCTATTGCCTCTGCTCAGTAGTCCATTTCTGGGACACGCATCTGGGGTGATTCCTTGCTGAAACTAGGAAATCTGACACTTGCTTCTCTCCTGGTTGTTATTAATGCTGGCTCGTTCAGTCTGAGAAAGCACTTCTGCATTTGCACAAGATGAAGTGAGAAATCCCTGCAGGTGCGGTGAGAGAGAAGGAAGAGAGGTTGACATGTGTTTGTTGGGCAGCAGTTTCTCATGTTTCATTTCCACAGGTGGCAGTGGTGGCTGGAACCCTGCGGGCTGCCAGGTGGATGCGGAGTCCAATGAAAATGAAACTGTGTGCTTATGCAACCACCTCACACATTTTGGGGTCCTAATGGTAGGCAAACTCACTGCTCACCAAGTTACCTTTCCCATGAACAGCAACACAGCTTTTGTCTGGTGTCAAGACAACTCACATTCTTGTTACTTGGGTTCTTTCTTTTGCATATAATTTTTAATTTTAATAGTACGTTATTTTCCCCCTTATTATCATAAAGTTATCTTTTCATAACAAAGTAGCTAGTGATAAGGATTCAAGAATGAGATAACGAATAAAGTTAGCAATGGGAGAATATTATTGTTGTTGTTATTATAATCATTATTAAATTCTTTACAAGTGGCTAAATATTGTTTTCTTTAATAATTAAAATGTACCAATGAGATTTTTCTGTTTTGAAAATACTTTGCCACAAAAGACCTGAGATTGAGACTTCTGAGTGATACCAAAATACAAATGGCTTATCATAACAGCCAACTTAATACAGCCAAGGCCCAGCACTAACATTTCCACTAGATTTACAGGAAAAAAAGTGATCTTAATGAGTCCTAATTTGCAGGGGATCTCTGACATATCCGTTAACAGTATAACCTGACAAAAGTGACCTGCAGCTGAGGCAGGAAGTGTGTAACAAGAGGGAAGTGAATAAGAAAGAAGTCTAAGTGTATTTGAAATTTCCAGATTGAGAGAGTGAGAAGTTGCTTGCAGGACAAAAAAAAAAAAAACAACAACAAAAAACCCCAAATAGTTAGAAATGCTGTTTTCAGAACAAAAAGAGAGACTCATTGTAGGGAAAAACAGGGAAAGAAAAACATCCTCCAGACAGTAGAAATAGTAATGAGAATGAAAAATCAAGGGAGCACAATAATTCTCTTTCATCCTTAGATCGAAAGGCTGACTTGTCCCTTGCAAATCTAGTTTATAAATTTGACAGGATTTATCTAATGACATAAACTATGAAGTGGCACCTTTTGCACAGTGTGTAAACCCATATTGGCTGTTTTCTTACTTGGCTTTAATCAGTTTTGGGGATGCCTTATATTGCTGGCCTTCTCTTGGAAAAAGACTGCTCATGGAGCACATGGTACAGAACACGTAGCCCAAACTCTGTCAGAGCTGTAAGCAAAGTCTCCAGACAGGGTGGCTGGCAGAGCAATGTGTATCCCGGAGGAGATGAAAGAGGGAACCATATGGGGCACATCAGCCCCAGCAGCATAGCCTCCAGCCTTCAGCTGCCTCCAGCAATTTGTACTTGTGAAGTGTTTTTCAGAGAGAAAAAAGTCCCAACATGAAAAAAATGGAATAGTGCTATCTTTTCTTAACTTTTGGTGGTTGTTTATGCTTAATAATGGGCTGATACATTTTTTTTTCCAGCTGAAATTAATATTCTTTGGCTTGTAAAACATAGCTGCAGAAAAGATGTTGGCTCCTGGTCACAGCAGGAATAATTCCTAAGTGGAAGTATTTGGAGTTTGAAGTAACTTGCGACAGTGTCAAAAAGGACTTGAACCACACAAGGCAGCCACATACGCTGAATTTTTCAGCTTTGGCCTTCCAGACCCTTCTTAATAGGACTGCTCCCTTCACGTCATGCTGAGATGTAGATATGGAAAAGCCACAAACTTTGTGTCTTCTTGCAAGCTAAATTATAGTCTTGTTCTACTTTTCATCCCCAAAGGGATTAAGAAAAGGCTTTATTTAGGATATATTCAATGAGCCCCTTCTCTTCCCTGAATGCTTTAATGGCAATAGGAAATAAGGCAGAAGGTCTTTGAATTCGGGCTGCATTCCAGTAGATTTTTACACAGTTTTGACCATTCGAGTTGCTTTTTCCATTTTAATCATTTCTTCTGACTTTAATTTAGATGCTAAATTATTTCCAAAGAACACTCTCCTTATGTGTAAATAAACTGTCATATAAGACTGGAATGGACAGTAAAAAAAGCCCTGCTCCTGCCTTTTCCTATAAAGCACGTAAAGTTTTGTAGCATTTCATGTTTCTTTTTGCTAGCTAGTTTTGCTAGGGACAACAGTGACACAGTGACAATGACTGCAGAATTGACTTCATTGTCTCTTAGTGGTTGCTCACATTTTCTCCACAGTGATACAAGTCTGAACATTCTTATATTTTCTTGTCCTTAAAAAACAGAAAATAACACTGATATTTATTCTCAGATGGTACCATGTGGCAGTTAGACAGAAAAGAAAAATAAAAACCTTAGAATGTTCCTGCTTAATTTCCAAATTTTTTCCTGCTGTCTTTGTCACTACTTTTCTGACCAATTCTATTTAAAAGTGTAGTTCTTATGTCAAAACAGACCCTAAATCCAAAAAGCAGTAATCTTGCCCTTGGTTTTACCTGTGGATGATTGGTCACATCAACTCCTATGGATTTTTAATAACAAAAAGGCCAAAAATTCCCTACAATGTTGCATATTTCAGTATGAATACTTTTAAGTTACATTGTTCTAAATCTTACATCTCCTGGAAAACATTTGTATATACGCAACAGAATTAAAACGTTTGGGCACTGGAGACTTTTCCAGAGTAGTACATTTGAATTCCTAGTACTGAATTATGAGGATCAGAATCAGGCTCTATCTGCTGTTCCCAGCAGTTATAATACTTAAAGCACAATGTTTTGAAGAGCTGTGGGAAGGAAGTGAGAGGTGTAACAACTGTAGACTGAGTACACTCAGCAAAAACGAACGCCAGTGTCAAGGTTACAGTGATATTGCCAGGATGCTTTTCACTTTTACTTGACTAATTACCAAGAAAGAGTGCTGTGCTCATAGCAAAGGTGCTGCCTACAAATGGGGTCTCTTCCTTCTCTCCCACAGGACCTGCAGAGAACCGTGACACAAATTGACCCACAGAACACCAAGGTCCTGACCTTTATCACTTACATAGGCTGTGGAATATCTGCTATATTTTCAGCTGCAACTCTTCTGACATATATTGCGTTTGAGTAAGTACTAATTCTGTGAAGAGCATCACAAAGAAGTACCTGTATGCACAGAATAAAATAAGTTAGTTATGTGGTTAGTGTGGTTTATTTGCCTAGGAGGGGAAGTCCATGTTTAAAAAAAAAAATCAAACCTGCAAAATCAGTGTTGTAAAGTGGAAACTTTTTCAAGGGGACATAAGTTCAGAGCCTTTCTTCCAGTTTCTAATGTGTTGTGCTGCTCAGACTAGGGAATAAGGTGTGTATCAAAATTTTCTTTTTGGCAAGAAAGAATCCTCTAGATTTTGAACAGCTAGATATTACTTTAAAATTATCAAACAGACCTTTTATAAAAAAAACAAAACTTGCCTATGTAAGCATAACAGGTTCCAAATTAAAAAAAAATTCCAACTAGAGTAATTACATTCTCTAGCCCTTCAGAAAGAAGTGGGAGAGATAAAATGAAAATAAATTGTGAAGTCTTACAACAATTTCAACAGAAGTCCTGCTAAAATGTGAAAGTGACTCAAGAGAAAGCAAAAATTTTGAAGTGGTGCAGTTCTGTGAACAGTGAAAAGAGAAAATGAAGTCGTGTCAACACAAAGAAAGCATTCTTTCAGTGACAGGACATAGTAGCTGATAAAGAAAGATAATTTTCTGTGGATGGGGGGAGGGCTGGAGAAGGGGGTTTTCAAGTTTTAAATATCTTCAATGACTGCATTCCTATTACATTACCTATGGTATAATGTTCTGGTTCAAGTTGGTAGAAATTGGTTGCTGCCCCTTGTCATCCACATTTCAGTGGGGATCAGATAGAAAAAAGAAATACTTGCTCTTCAGTCTTCCTAAGATCCTGTTTAAAAACAAACAGAAGACCACATTCAAGAGATCATATATCCCAAAAATCAAGCTCATATATAAGGCCACATATGAAATGATCACAGATGACCTTCTCATCAGCTATATATTTTTTTTTTGTTTTCATTTAAAATAAAAAGTACTGGTTTATATTTCATTTGAAAGACTTGTTTTCTTTGGATTTTTTAATAAAAAAAAAAATCAGTTGCTAAAATATTGCAGCAGTTAATTAGCACATTATGGACCCAAAGAACTGGTAGCTTACCCCTACCACACACAGCTGAAGCCTTCAACAATCCCCCACAAAAATACACTCCTCTATATCTTAGTGCATAAATTCAGCTGGAAGGAGTTCCTTGTGCTTTTATTGACTTTGTGAAGGAGTAAACCCAGCTGCAGTAGGTGGTTTGTGTGAGTGCAGCAACTTAATCATGTGCACCTGTGTTTCTCTCATTAGGAAGTTACGAAGAGATTATCCATCCAAAATCCTGATGAATCTGAGCACAGCCCTGCTCTTCCTTAACCTGATTTTTTTGCTTGATGGCTGGATTGCATCCTTCGATATTGACGGCCTCTGCATAGCTGTAGCTGCACTTTTGCACTTTTTTCTTCTGGCCACCTTTACATGGATGGGACTGGAAGCTGTTCACATGTACATTGCTCTGGTGAAGGTGTTCAACACGTATATACGGCGATACATACTGAAGTTTTGCATCATTGGCTGGGGTGAGTTCATTAGGAGCAATATTTACCTAGCGGGTATGCTGCTGTATAAAATGCTTTCTGTAAAAGAGAAACACATATGTGAAAGGTCTCTGTCAGAAATGCAGAGTAGAATGCATATCAGTGTGTCGTTTCCTTCCCCCAGCCCGCAGCAGTGCCGGCACACCGCCAGCCCTCCCTGTCACCGAGTTCCCCGGTGTGATTCTGTGTAAATGCACTCTCACTGGCACTCTCCACCCAGAGCAGCTCCCAGCCCCAGAATGAGCAGAGACACCAGATAAACTGGTCTCGTTTTCCAAAGAGGCCAGAGTGGGAGAGAGGAAATGTGAGTGCCGTGTCAGATATGGAGAACTGTGTCACACGATGAATGCAGAAACTTTTGCAGTTACTGCAAAGCCTATGGAGGTTTTGCACTGACTTTCAAAAACTCTTGAGTCCAGCCTACATTTTCTTGCCAACAAAGCCGATTGTGGAATCAGAGACAACCAAAACTTTCTGAGATTCAGCAGTGTTTAAACCACAAAGAGATCCTGGCTGCCCTAAGCAATGTACACAGCAGGACAGAAATGGAAAAAGTAATACTGAAAAATTGCTGCAAGGCTCAGGCAGCAAGACTTTTATTCTTCATTTTTGTCTGTATCAGGAATCTGTGGTTTCTCCCTGAATGTGCATATTCTGTTTGAAATAATACAAGACAATACAAAGCCATTAACCTTACGGCTAGAGCACTGACCTCAGTACAGCTGATAATTGATGTCTTTCCATTGGCAACTAGCATCCTCTTTGGCAGCCTCGGCAGGGGACAAGGACTGAGTGGTCGGAAAAGCAAATTAACCTCTTCCCCTTTGAATCTGTTCTGTTATAGCAAGGATAAGACATGTAAATAAGGCACATCAGGAAATGTACATTTCTTTTGTGTGAGCTGTACCTTTCTGCAGAGTTCTCTTCTGCATACTTGTCTATTTTCCCCAAATACTCCCTCTGCTTTTTTATTAAGAAATGCATGGTTTGCTTTACAGAAGCAAGGGGACCACATATAAGTAAATTATATATAATATGTATGATCCTGTAGAAGATACGTAACATAATGTGGTTGAGAAAAGCAGTGGAGAAATTACAGGTTTTATTTAGTCCATGTTCCCCAGTTACACAACCTAATGTATTCACAATAGCGTGAAAAAAAGTCCCTCAAAAAATTCCTAATACCATGCCTCGACTAGATGTCATTTTTGCAATAATTTGTTAATCTTCTCACTATATGAGAACCTGTGTGCAGTTGCAAATTTAACTTTGGGTAATTAAGGGATATTATTTTACTTCAGTTTATTATTTTACTTTAATTTCCTTATCATCTACTAAATTTCTTCTACCATACAGAACATTACAAGGCTTATTAATGAATGCCTGTTAATTGCTTTGATAGTTCAATATATTTGTACTGTTTGAAAAATTGTTTACTTCTATCTTCTCAATGCAGTTTTCTCAGGATGCTCTGCACCAAAGAATTTTGGTAGGAATGGAGACATCAATAATTCAGCTTACCATGGTGAGTTTGAAAGTTTAGGAGATTCGAAAGCTCACAAATTTTCTTGTGTTACAGGTTTGCCAGCTCTGGTGATAGCAATCATTTTAGCAAGTGCTAATACAAATGCAAGTCATGTTTATGGCAAAGAGTTATATGGCAGAGATGCTAATGGGCAAGGAGGAGATGATTTGTGAGTATTTCTTTTGATCTCTTGAAATTTAGCCTTTATAGTTGCTTTGGATAAGTCGATGGTGCATTAAACAAGCAGAAAGGGCAAAACTGTTCTGAATGATTAGAATCTGTAATGTGAAGAAGGCTGTTAGAAAAATTAAAGGGAAATCTGCATTACCCAACACCAGGTACAAGCATGCCTGTAGCAAAAGAATAATTTACAGATTTTGTCATGAAAATAAAATAAAAATACTTGCTTTGGTTTGTCTTAAATGAAAAGTATATTTTCTAGGTAAGAACAAGGGAAGAATTTGTATAAAAAGTTTCCTTTGTGAATCAAGCATCCTTTTGCCAATGTAGTTCAATAGTCCTCTATGTTCTTGATGTCCAGATAATAACTCCAAATGCCAAAATTTTTATGTGAGTGCTCTTTGCCTCGCTTGGCAAAGCTTCATCATGATAAATAAAACTTTAATTTTTTAATTTTACTTTAGTATCATGCTGAGCATTCAGGCCATTTGCTGCATGAGGAATTAGTTAGAGCTCTCATATGGCTGACTGTCAAATGGCTACCTCAAAAGTCCTGCTACTTCTCCAGTTCTTACATGTTCAAGTTCTCCTTTAGCTCCAGTGGCAGAAACTTGAGATTTTGACATTGAGGATCCAAGTTTGCTCATTCTGTTACTAAAGCACTCAATGCTTCACACAGATGACAACACCAATTTTTTTTTGTACTGAGTCTAAACTTTTTTCATTATGAGATTGCAGTTCCCACCACTTCCCACTTTTTAAAATATTTTTGACTAAAATGTGGCACAGCCTTCAGATTTCTTGAATGGTAGTACTATAGGCCATAGTCACTTAAGGTGCCTCTGGGCTTCATCCTGTTTCCAAACTGAAAATGGACAAAGGTTTCATTTTACACTCTAATTCTGCATCAGTGGTATCAGAAATCAGCTCATTTTCCTTCAGTCATATGAATAATTGGAGGATAATTTCCATTAGACAAAAATTATTCTTTTTTAAATTTTTTAATTTTTTTTACAGCTGCTGGATCAAGAATGAAGTTGTCTTTTACGTGACTTGTGCTGGCTACTTTGGAATCATGTTTCTGATGAATGTTGCCATGTTTATTGTGGTGATGGTGCAAATCTGTGGAAGGAATGGGAAAAGAACCAACCGGAGCTTGAAGGAAGAGATCTTGAGGAACCTCCGTAGCGTGGTCAGCCTGACCTTCCTCCTGGGCATGACATGGGGCTTTGCCTTTTTTGCCTGGGGTCCCTTAACTCTTGCTTTCCTGTACCTCTTCTCAATTTTCAATTCATTGCAAGGTAAGCTGAGTTTTTCTTCTATGAACAAATAATATTTGATCTGTTACTGTTCTGGGGCATATGATGTTCAGTGATTGGACTAGGGAACTGATATCTGAGCTCTCTAGGTTTTCCTTTGATATTAAACCATCATTAGTTTCCCCTTATGTGGAATAATGATAGCAACTACGTGTGGGTTGAATATCTTACATAAATTAATTACAGTTTCAAGGTCTTTTTCCCTAAAATGAACTACATTATAAATGGAGATCTTCCTAGCTAACAGTCTGCAGTGTTCTCTTTTGAGATACATGCTGTATGACCTTCAGCATTTCCTTTCACTGATTATAACAAATATAGGAAGCCTTTTTCCTTAATTTATTCCTGTAGAGAATTTATAAAACTCATAACTGTTCTATTAAGGCATGAGAAACTCATAAATTAAAATTCAGTCCTGTCTCAGTGTGGAGAGATAGCAGAGACATATGGGATAGTCTTCACCTAAGAAAAATCCACTGACTTGTTACAGTCAGCTTATTTTTCTTTCCATTACTCAATTTTTCAGTATTTTACTTTTCCAGAATAATTTGTCTTTCTGAAAAATGCTGTAAATTGTAATAAAATGGCTATAAATTACAGAACTACATAGCTGACATTTAAAAAAATTCAGCTCAGAGCTAAAATTTGCATATGTTTCAACTGTCATAAAATTCTCTACCGGTACTTGCTGTACCCACCTATGCAGAACAATTAAATGCATAAAGAAGAGAAAACCCTCAGGTCTTGGAAGTGCATGTGTTATGCCACACACATATTGACATAAAAATTAAATCTGCCAGGAAAAAAACAAACAAAACAAAACAAAAAAAACCAAAACAACAAAACAAAAAAAAATCCCAAACCAACCCCTAAACAAACAAACAAAAAAACTCTCAAGAATGTAATTGAAGGAGTATGTGTTATGCAACACAAATATTGAGATAAAAAATGAAATTTTCATAGGGTCAGCAGAACATCTTCTCTTTATGGAAAAAGTACTTAATATCACCCTGTGCGGATTTTATCTGATACTGTTGAGATGTATTTCCTGCGCTGAAAGATTTATTGAGATTTCATGGAAGGAGAATCATGTTGTGGGTTTTTGTTTGGGTCATTTTCAACATAAAATGCTAAGCAAAATGACAAAAAGTATTTGGATGTGGTGCTCTTACTAGACTGTTTTTTCCAAAGGACAGATTCTGATACTCCCCTAGCAGCTTAATGAAGTATTTACTGCATTGTGTCTGTGTTAGAAATTCAGACAGGTCTAGAGAGATCAGAAGTATGGGAAGAACATGAAAAAAGACTTAAATTCTGAAAATCTTGCCAAGGGTCAAATTGAACAAGTTCTCTGGAACCAGAATTTCCAGTGCAATCAATTAAGCTTGTATGTGCAGAGTGCATATAAGGTTGGCCAGCACTGCCTAAGTGGGATAATAACACTATTTAATGGAAAACGAATATTTGGAAGGCAGTTAAGTCAGAACATGAAACTGAAAAAGACAAGAAGTAAATGTAACAAGAAGAGTGATGAGCTTTTCATGGATTGTGGTAGCAAAGATGATGCAGTCTAGGCTGAAGCATG